GGGGCTGCTAGGATGTCGTATACCTCTCTTATCAGCGTGGTATCCAAACTTCTTACCACCGCTGACACTTTTACGGCATCCGATTTAACGTTGTACGCCGCGAATTCCTTTTCCAACATCACGAACCATAAATTTGGTTCCTCTTTCCAAAAGGATGGMAGATTTACATTTCTAAATTCACTGGCGTTGACTTCCTTTGTGTCGGTATCGGCACGGGCCACGTTGGCTTCGCTGGTTGATTGTGCCATTGTTCTTCTTTTTATTATATTTTCTATTTTAGTTTTTGTATTATTTTTTTATTTTTTTACGCGGACGTTCCCGGGTTTCGGCACCAATTTACTGTAGAGGGTTTCTCTATAGTAAAGATAATATTAGACTGAATTTATTTTATGTTCTTTATTGTTAGGATGCGACTTGCTTTTCTTTGTTGTACACTTCTCAACGGCTACGCACAGACTGTACTCGTCTGGTGACCACACTTGCTAGCGTGGTTCCCTAGCCTTCTAGTAACTTAGATGGCGCGACCATCGGTCGTACCGCTACACGCACCGGTTCGGTGCTGACACCCCATGGTTGACCATCCGTAGCTCCGATGTCTGGCATGTGGGGAACAAGGTTAACGGAAAAGGTTGATCTGGAGATTTACGCGATAGTCGTCAATTAAAGTAACAAAAATATATAAATTTATTAACAAGATACAACTAAACTCTTGGACGCCATATATAGGACTAACCCACATTTCGACCGTTACGTTCAACTTGGGTTTAGTTAGTCTAGTACCCGCATAGGGAGGAAGGGCGCCAGTGTGCCGCGTCGATACACTAGGCACGTATCGCCACAGCAAGTGCAATCAAGTGACAACACGAGTTCTTGTCAGTGCAGCCAGATCGTGGGTAAATCGTACCCTCTCCCTGTGCCACTGTGGGATTGCACACAATGAAAGTTACCCATGTCCGTGTGTTCGGGATGTCGAAAGAAGTCGAGTGTAACCGAAGTTGGCACTTGGCGGGCACGCCGGAGTGGCACACTATGAAAGCGTGCCACGTTCGTTCATTATGTGCAATCCCACAATGGCACAGGGAGAGGGTACGATTTACCCACGATCTGGCTGCACTGGTTCTTGTCCAGCGATCCCATCCGTACGATGATTATCGTACGCGTACGATAATTTGAGGCCCTGTACGATCAAAAATTCGTGGCGTACGATCCATTTGGAATTTCGAAAATTTGATGACCTTTTTTTTTTTTTTTT